ATTCGTATGTCTACTGATTGTACTTATTTAACTTTCAAACCTTGAATTACCACTTCAAAACGAGCATTAAGGATACAATTCATAACGGCGGGGAAAACTCATGTCTGACACCAATTACCAAACTCCGCGAGGTTTAAAGTTTATAATGTCTTACAGAAAAAAACACAATTCAGGAGATTTGATATCCGTTATTCAACGCCTGTTTATCCCAAACAATTGACCGTTAGACGAATTAACCCATTGAATTATACAAGGTACACGCCACTTATAACTATAGCAGTGCGTACTCATGAGTAATAAAGCAACACACATACTATAACATGTTGCCTTTTCTCCATCATCTTATATCTGTCATCTACAGCTTCAAATCAATAATTAATATTTTTACTATATTGTCAGTAAGCATTCTCCATCATTCATGTCTCAAGTTGAATTTATAGCAAATATAGTAGTATGTAGTCGATAATATTCTTTTCTTTTCTGGCCTTATCTTTTCTCTCAGATAAACACCTCATGAGAAATGACATCAATCGTTTTTACAAGTAGTTGATCCGTTCGAGCCATATAAGCGCAATAAATACTGCGCATATAAAAGCCGGGAGCTTACATTAAATCTAGTAATATAATCTTTGGTAGCGTGCTTAATTTATAATTTTATAAGAAGTGAGTTACTTCGGCTTTTCTGTTTTTGTTGAATGTGTTTCACTACATCCGAGGCTGTGCAATGACATAAATACACCCAGTAACATGTAAAAAAATCACAACAAAATATTTGAAGTTTTTACTAGTTTAATGAGTGGACACAAGGGGAACTAGACTCACAGACTGCTTCTATACACTACTCCCATGCAATAAGAATTTCAATATATTCTGTAAAGAAATTGAATGGGTTGGAGCTTTACTACATTTCAGCCACACTGATGAAACAGCAGCAAAACAATTTCGAGTGTGTCTAGTGTATGTGTATAGGACGTATCAGCAGCCACACGTTGTGCTACATGTCGTGCTAGGCAGTGAGCTTAAGTGGGGCATGTTGATCAGCAGGAATAACTTTCACAGCATTTATGCATGCGTTGGTCTTTTATAGTGTGCAGCTCAGGACGCTACAGGTTCACGACAAATCGCTATTCTGACGGAAAGCTTTTATCCCCTTGATAGAGTGAATTATCTGGAATAGCAAATTGCGTGTCTTATAATAGAGGATTAATAAAAAGGAATAAACTGATGAAAGCACTATGCTCATCGCTTTACAAAATACATTTGAACAGGGAATTACATTTTACAGAGATATATCATTATATAGGATTGACAGGATGCTTGATTCGCCATTACTGCTGACAAATAAATAAACACAGCTCACATTGAGACCTGGTCACCAAAGCAACTGTGCCCTTAAGTTTCGTACATATTCTAGATGCTCTGTATTTTATTCTAATGTAACGTCAACATAAGATTACCTTAACTTATATTTACTAGAACTGATTTTGCAAGCTCACGTTTGAAAAGTTACATTCGCAAATCGGTAATGTTGACTGACCCCGGAATTTAAAAAGTTGAAAAATTGACGAAACGACACGTTCTCGTGGTCAAGTGGACCACTTTGAATTATAATAATGCAGGTCGAATAACTTCCTTCAGTGCTGACAAAATAATAGGCAACACAAAATGGAAGTCCTTGTGGACAAATCAGTAACTTGAATTGTTACATACGACGGACAAACTAGCACGATTAAGTGGTTTTATTTATAGTACAATTCTACCACAGGCAGATATACATAAACAGTAGTATACGGTATGTGGTCACTGCGTGTGTGACTATAAACTGTCAGTGTTAAAATAACGAGAATGAACTGATGGTCAAAACACATGCTCATTGTAATATTGAAAACGTACTTTCAAACTAAATCATTAATTTCAAATGAGTTAATTAATAATATATTATCAACCGATGGAATACGAATGATTTATCTATGTAGTTTGGATATGCAATACAAGCCTCCTTATTTGGTATGTTTGTATATGTCATTAATGACTTTTGGTGAGCTAGAATTTCATTTTTTACTAAAAGCCATTTGTTGAAAGTAGAATTATTATTCAGCTTAGGACCGAATCCTTCAAAAGGGCACTTTCATATGTATTTAAATTTCCAACAATGCTCAAAGCATTGTATTTCACAACCACATGCACTATACTGGAACATACCATTACACAACAGTGTTGACAGGGTTTTTGTTGACACGACATAGTGGCTGTACTCAGTTCTGTCTCTATAAAAGTCCTTTTAAACGAATCGGCGGCTAGAATTGTTTTCACGCGATCATGTCATATATTAATTGCATTGGTTACACACATGCTAATGTACATTTACATATGACGGTCAAAAATGGGTTATTCATGCTCGTCAATTTGGTAGTGCAATTGTAGCGCAGTTCCATTCGATAAATATTAACATAAAATTAAATATATAAACAAATAAAGAACGTTTTATATGTGGACAATTTAAAAAAACAAAAAATACGTTGCGTGTTAAAGTACTGAGAAGGCACTGATGTTAAAAACATATGTTCGTTGTGAAAAGAAAATATGCTTTCAAACTAATTCATAAATTTCAATGCCAGTATATTGTCGATGGAATGGGCATAATTGATGTTTGTACTCAGTTACCCTCTGCTGTGAAGTTAGGGTCAGGATGACGTACTGTGAAATTTCGCTGTTCGGACGTCCTTCCCCAAACATGTAACTTCTATGATAATACACCCGTCTGAACTATGGTACGCTGGCATTCAAGCTGTGAATTTCAAAGTTGCCTAGATTATATTCAATGCCACAGTTTTTCTGCGCAGTGTGAATTCAGACTATAGATAGGAACGCTAATTACTCTAATGAAACTCATTAGAGTTAATAACTCATTAAAATCTGCAATGTGGTTGTTTAAAAAATAATTATGAACTATATGATAAACATACAATACAATATCATACAAGATACAGCTGAATACAATTGAATTATTGAACCATACGTGTTAATTACAATCCTAAGTAGGTTAATTAATTTAATGGTTGGTGAAATAAACAATATAATATGTCACACCGATAGAGTAAGTCACCACTCTTCTACTGAAGGGGAACCTTGCACGTTCAGGTGAGTCGCCTTGAACTAAATTAAACTTTCCTGTTTCATTGTAGTCGTTGATAATCTATCTTCCACTGTTTTTTTCATAAACTGTTTTTACTTTGCACACTAAATTGTAAAATATATTAGATGAATGCATAGGAACACAGTTGTAAGTTGGAACATCGGTCTATGTGTAAAATGTTTAACTTGCGATATCTCGAGTTACCAAAATGTGAAACCATTTTTGCCCTCGTAAACTCCATTTTGAATAATGTCATGTGAATGTCCGAATAACTATTTTGTCTCCCCACAGTAACGATGTCATTGAAACTTCTATATATATTGTGTATGGCTGCCTATTCAGGTAGGATATATTGTTATACGCTAAGGTCTCCCAAATAGACGCGAAATTTTAGCTGTTTTTTTAAATGGAATAATTAACCTCACTAGATCAATACTCAGCCATGTAGTAGAAAGTAAAGATGTGCATGTGTAGGTTGTGATTCACATTGCGTGCTGTTTTAGAATTATCACCGTCACGCGTTTTCTGGGATTTTTAACTGCATTTGTGGATGGAGTAGATAATCTGATGCATTGTACTCTAATCTGAACAACTGTATATCATTTCTATATTGGCGAGCGGGGATCCGTATAATCTTAGGGCAAATAAAACTGTTGATTACTGCTCTTACTTAAGTACCATTTATTTATTTATTTATTTATTTATTTATTTATTTATTTATTTATTTATTTATTTATTTATTTATTTATTTATTTATTTATTTATTTATTTATTTAATGCGAATAATCCATTGGCACTCTATAAACAAACGCAATGCTTTAGTAAACGTGTCAATCCAACGTGGTTATGAGAATGTTTAAATTTTCCTGGGTCCAAATTATAAAGTTCTAAAGTTCCCATTTGATTCAACTAAATATTAGAATTACGTATACCGAGATTCATATTTGCTACTAACTAAATATTTTAAAATAATCAAAAACCGCATATCGATTGTACAAGAATGTTTCTTTAAACTCATCTAGCCGTCATTTACTCGTAAATTAAGTCATCATCCACATTCATTTACAATAAAATATGAACACACTTTATAACTTTTGTTGCTAATATATTTGAGAATGTATTGAATTTCTTATTGGTAACGATTATTATATGTTTTTTCAAGCGACGTCGACAGTTCTTCCAATACGCGTTGTTTCATTAAGTCGTCGCGTGTTCCTTATCATTATGTGTAGGTGTCACCAGGGGAAAGCGTCTTTGCGATGTCGAGATGCTTGGGAAGTGTTACTTTGTTTCACAGGAGTCCGTCGGTTGGACAGATGCTCTCAGCAGTTGTCAAAAACAGGGAGGACACTTGGCTGTCATTCAGGACAAAACCGAACGAAAAGCATTGAACGTTCTTGCTAAAAGGTAACTGCTGATACAACATTCGTTTGTTTGCTTGTTTGTCACATTACCGTCTCTAAATAGGTTCGTCTTGTTTAACAATATTCAAATCTAGTTCATAGCTCGCTGATGTGTTGTTTTACTTTTTAAATATCTGAAAAGTAACTGCATTGGTATCCGCTTGAATGGCTCACTGTCTAACGAGTTAAGCTGTTTTATTTGTCGAACAATGTTCTTACATCTCCGATACGTTTGGCATAATACAAAACTCATTTGACCATTTTTATTGTAGAATCTTTTGCAATATTAATCATTATCGATTAATTTAATGTTTTTGCCTAAATAGTTTATCTTGCAAAATTGTATATCATTGATCCTGTCAACGTCAATCGATTTTACTATCCTGGTGATTATTTGAAATTCAAATGGAAAATATCATTGATGTGTATGGTATGAACGTGTGAACATTTAGCATGGCTTAGATATATCTTTAAATTCAAGTAAAGCGCAATTCATATAGTCAATTAATAATATTAAATAATGATAACAATGTTTATTAACCCAATAATAATTTACATGGTGTTCAGATTACATCACAAATAATATAAAAAATAAATAATGACTCTATCAGGAATAATGATGATAGATACAGCTAGATACAGATGTTGGAAGGATGTTGATTGGGCGAAATTTAAATTAGAAAATATCTTAGAGCTAGTCGAGTCTGATTTCCTGTGAAAAGTTGAATAATTTGATTTTTTTAAATAAAAATTAAATTTGCATCAATCATAAAAACAATATTTAACACTAAGGCATTTGGGTGTTAAAACAATCACAAATAAATTGGTAATAACAAACAGAAATGGCAAATAATAGGCAAATTGTAATAATTTAACAATAGTTATTGTAGTTTAAGAGATGTTTTGAATGACTTGGAGGAGAAACTTTTCAAATGCTATGATGTTCCATAATTTATAACCAGTGTACGATATTGAAAACAATCTGATTGCAATTCTGAACTTCCCAAGCGTAGGTGTTACCATTGAGTATTATAAAAAAATTAAATAATCGTCAATGTAGTCTGCTGAATTATTGTGAATTAACTTTATTAGTAGTATTTGTAAGTGAAGAATTCACTTTTATAAAACTTGTTGAACCATGTTGTTGTCAAAATGTTTATAATGATTCACGTAGTTCAATTTTATGTCAGTTATTAGTCAGAAATATCATATTTTTTCCACGATATTAGTAATAAACGACTTTGGATTGGCCTACGTGATTTGGCAGTTGATGGCAGTCCGCATTGGGTTCACCCGAAAATTAAGTATGATAACAATAACAAAAAATCCTACCCCTGGGCATCTGATGCTAGCAAGAGACAAGGACATGACTGTGTAGTAGCTGTGGCAAATGAAGACAATATGTTTGAGTGGCAATATAGTGACTGTCAAAACTCGGAAACATTTCTGTGTGCCTCAGCAGCAGTTGGATGTAACGGTACGTACAACTCATTTTGTCAATGTCATTTATCACAATGCATTTATTATATATCTTGTATTAGTAGATAATACAATGGTTATAAAGAGGTAAATATATTGGCTATAAGAGTCTTTAAATTGCTGAAATCAAATTTTCTCTTTGACCAACTTTATCTTTGAAAACAGTGTTTCATCGCTTTGAAAGTTTGAATGAAATATACTTGTGGAAAAGTATTTGTGTCGGGTTGAATGTTAAATGTTTGGTTTGATATGGCGATACAAAACAAACCAGGCTCTAATAAAGTGACTGGGGATTTTACTATGGATATCTCAAAGAAATTCAATATTGTTCTTGCCTGAATACTGGATAGTTCGTTTCCGAATACGAGAATCGTAATTTCAGTTTACATTTTATTACATCATAAAGAACGGATTAAATGCCCTATATAATATATCACCATTTCAAAGTTCAAAATCAATGTCTTTTATTTTAGTTACAAAATACAGCATCTCCAATGTTCGAATCCAAGACATTGCAATTTAACTTAATATAACATTCATGTTCAAAATACAACATTCACCCGTAAATCATCGTGCTTCACACGGTGGATTAACACAAAATGTGTCATTGTTTTCCACAGAATGTGTTACGCTAAATACACCAAATAGCTACAGTTATCAGTATATCACTGATGCGACAGGTCTTATTCGTCTAACATTTGAGGTTAAAGCAAACAACGACGTGCACATTGGTTTGTCAGCTCAACAACATGATTTATCAAACATGTACGAAATTGTGATCGGTGGATGGGGGAACTCACAGTCTGTTATTCGTCGTAGCAAGCAAGGGTTCAATCAGGTCGCTGTATACACACCTGGTATTCTATCCTCATCTGAGTTCAGAGGATTCTGGTTGACATGGCAAAATGGTAAAATCAAAGTCGGCAAGGCTGGTAAAGTCGATTCTTTTATGCATTGGACTGATCCAAATCCACTCGTAGTCAGCTTCATTGGGTATTGCACTGGTTGGGGAAGTACAGGCGTATTCAGTGTATGTACTGAATATTATGGTATGTGTTTGTTTTTTATTGTCACCTACACAATTTCAAACATACACTCTGCTTATATATATGATATACTTACTTCATCAATATAATATAAAACAAAAACAACCATTGATTTCTAACACATAGGGACATAACACATTTTCTAATACTGTTACTAGCAAAACGTGTTATTATGAATAACTGTCGGTCTATGGCAAAACACTCTATATAAATAAAGCTAATTATCATAGCACACTTAAATATCCTAAATTCGTCTCGTATCTAAATATTGAGTGTTCTAAATTGAGATCGATGGGTCAGCAACTTTCAGTAATATAAAATTTCAAAAACATTTTTCTGCCTTTGAAGTTATACCAGGACTGGGGATAACAACGCCTGATGATATATACTGTTACAGATCATATTTGACTGATTGGGAACGCGGGTAACATTGGAACGTGATATTTTAGTTTAAGTATATAATGAATTGTGGTTTAATTTACCAATATCACATTTATCAGAAGGACTATTCACAAATGATTCCCAGAAACAGAAACATAATTGTGGGTGGTTCTGTTATATATATAGTACAATATGTCTGTTGTAATACCATAGATCCCGTAATGGACAAGATTGGTACAAAAACGAGATCGACATCACACCAGGATCATGTTTCAGTTTTCGGCAGTATTGAAGGCATTAACCGTGACTTGGGTAAGAGTAGTATACCATATATGCTCATATTGTTGTATATGTATTTATTTCTATTGCTTTCCTGTTATTTTTTCATAAGATATGAACCATTTTCATCAATGGTACCATATAACCTGACTTGTCAAAACCTTTAGCATATCGAAAACATTATTATGGTATAGTGTGTCCATTAATTATTGCGCAATGTACGTTTATTTTTCAGATCTTTTTGAAGGAGACATTATGTTAACAGCAGAGCAACGCCAACGAAGGGAAACAGGCGAACCAGTTTTATCCATGTAAACTTGACATGCACATATATATCCATATAATTATACAGCTCTTCTTTACTTCCACTTCTTCTACTAATTCCCAGAAGTCTTTGAATATAATTGCACCAACACTGTTCATTTTTTGGCATTTTGAATAGTGTGATGTATATTCCGAACTTGCTGGTCAATCGGCTTTTGCTATTCTATGATTTGCTGAAACACGAGACGCAACATCCCAAAACCTACTCTGTTTGTGGTTGCAAATGTGTATTTTTTCCTTATTATTTTCGTTCATGATCTGCCGAGATGAATCTGTCATATATTTGAATTTAATAATGCATATGTAATTACATCTGTACTACAACCGTTTTATGATATATTTCCATATAGCGGATTAGATTTCATGACATGTGGTCAAGCGTAACCGTGTTACACGCTAGGTGAATATGACGTTGTTAAATGTAAGGTATCACATGTCATTGATAACTCTATCTATTATTCTGGTATAATTATATTTCAGTAAGAGAGGAATTACAAATGAAGTTTACTGGTACTGGCCTGATAATGTAGTAAACTACGTATTTGACGAAGATGACCCATTAAGTTAGTAATATTTGTCTTAACGTTTGAACTCAGTTTTATTTTTCTCACGCATTCTAGGCAGAATTATCAAACATATTTGTTGCATGGCAGGATCAACGATTTATTTAAAATCTAACTATTAATGATTAATAATACAGCTTGTGCATGTTTATTATTAAAGATGCCGAAGATAGGAATCTGGTGAGAGGAGCATTGGATGGTATAGAATCGGATACATGTGTGACTTTCGTTGAAGGAATAGCGGACGATTATATCAGCATAACAAACGGAGATGGGTAGGCTTCCAGATTATATTTATATGCATAATTTGTTTCATTATGTGCCAGTTTGAAGACAATATACATTTATTTCTTAATAGAATTAACCACTGGCTACAAGAAGACATATTTGTACTCTTACTCTTACCAACACAGGCAAATTAAATGATTTCATAATGCAACTTATGGACGCTGAGTAGATACAATTTTCTCTCAAAGGTGTTGGTCCTATATTGGAAGGATTGGAGGCAAGCAGATGTTGTCACTTCTATCTCCAGAGGGTAATGGTGGGACGTGTATGTGGCTTGGAATTATTCAACACGAGTTTCTACATGCACTTGGGTTTTACCACGAACAGTCTCGTTACGATCGTGATTGTTATGTACAGATTATGTGGGATAATATCATAGAAGGTAGGAGCGGTGAAGAAATAGCATTGTTCTATTTCGTCTGTGTCATATGAAACATTGCAGTACAGAGGTGGAGTAGGACGTTCATAAATAAGATAGCAGTTTGTTGTGTCTATTTTTTATCCAAACCAACTGTTTTAATATACAGGGATGGAGTCGAATTTTGAGATAGTTGAAAGACAATGGATGGACTTACAAGACACTCCTTACGATTATGGTTCATTGATGCACTATGGGTGGAATGCATTTGCGATCGACAACACACAGGCAACAATAGTCACCATCAACCCACCAGGTGTAGCGATTGGTCAAAGAGACGGACTTAGTGATTTGGATATAACAGAAGTGAACGGAATATATGATTGTACTAGTGAGTATTTTTCCCTACATCACATGTAATTTCAGTTCAGAAATTCGATGCAACAACCAACTACAAAGCGAAACATATGAAACAACATTCTAACTTTCGAAGTAGTGGCACAACTCGTTGTTTTAATAAATTTATGAATACATAACATAATGATCTTAAATTTCCAGGCACTGGCATCGAGTCAATTTGGAGTGCTTGGGAATCTTTAACGGATTGTACTGAAACTTGTGGAGGTGGAACAAAATTCAGAAGCAGGTATTGTCTACAAGGAGATTGTGAAGGTCCTAACTTTCAAGTACAGAACTGCATGACTATCGATTGCCCGCTAGTTATCAGTAAGTTGAACTATAATGATCATTTTGTAAACATTTCTTGAGAAGTTATATCAAAATAAATTTGAAAACAGTGACTTATTTACAATATTTTTTACTTTATTTCAAAAAATATATTCTACATTTCACGAAATATATGAAATAAAACTGCTGAAACTGTTAATGTTTCTAATTCACTTGCTTTTAGATTATCTGTATCAAGGCTGTTTTGCCGATGCCGGCAACCCACCAATTCTTACTTCACTCGAAAACACAGGGAATCCCCACTTAGGTGAACATTATACCGCACGATCTGACAAAACCAGGGTAAGAAATTTATCGCTAAATCTGTGAGTATTGGATATATGTGAAACGGTGTAAAGCATGTGAAGAATTTAAAAAGTCGAAACACGGTACCAACAAGATTCTATGTAATTCACATAAGTATGCCGAATAACTTATATTAAATTACACTTATTCTATATCACGTTATGTTGCATTCAATCAACTTAGTAACAATTCCAACAGAAATGCGCAAGAGCTGCGGTATATGAAGGTCATCCTTATTTTGCTCTACGTAATGGCGGGGAATGCTATGTAGCGTCAAACCCCCAACAATATTCAGTACAAGGAAATTCAGAAAACTGTTTAGAAGGATTAGGCACTGGCCAGAGTATAGATGTATATCTAGTGTGGGGTAAGATACATTATTGCTTGCTTATGTTTACTTGTTTACAATGGGGGTGTTTATTGCATTTAGTTTCGTTCAGTTTAATTAGTAGATTTGAACACGGAGGAGAAACAAATACCTACCTCATTGAATGTGTGTTAAATGTACTATTTTCATCGACTGGCGCGACTAGTCCACCTTTGCTTTCTGTCATATATTATTGATTTTAAAAAGGCTAATTATGGTATCTTACATATCATAACTATCATATTAATATCAGTATTTCTTTTGTTAATTTTATCATATATAAATATAGCTTCACTTGATTAATAAACCATTTAAGATATTTGTTTCCGGATTTTTATACGTAGAGCCAAAGTGTGAATTTGGATCGGCATATTCAGCTGACGGTGTAACTCAGTACTGCGATGTACCACGTGGTGTACAAGGATTTCCGATTGCTAACCTGTGTCCTGCAGGCTTTTCATGCCAGCGATTAATATCAGAATCTGGAGCATTCAGTGGTTTATGCTGCCCGACACGTAAGTAATACGTAGTGGAATTTATAAAACGTTTAAATGTGAGTATATGTTTGCAACTCTACAATGGAACATGTGTACATCTCGACAATACGAGTATTAGCTTTTTCAACATGTTCTGTCTGATTACAGAGCTCTGTCGCGATTATTGTAGCAGTGCAGACGAACTATTAGGGCGAGAGTGTTATTGTGGTGGAAACTGTCACCAACGAGGGGATTGCTGCTCTGAATATATGGACGAATGTGGAGGTAGGTAACATGTACATATTTTGTGAATATACACAATTTTCTCTGCAACAATTGCATGATGTTCTTCGTCGAATGATAGTTAAAGAGCGACAGTCGTCGTGCCGCGTCCTGTTCGACATGGGACTCATAGCGACGTGTAAAACGCGTGTAAAATACATTGTTTATTTACATGAAATTTGAACACGCGCTGCGCCACGACCACCGCGCTTCAACATCATATGTCTGGAAGCACCACAATATTATTCAACGTTAATCCCCGTAATGCACTCACAAGTGAAACAATAAGAACAGACATGTGAATTTGCAATATCATTAATTTCCTTTATGTGCGTATGAAAGTGTGACAGTGTATGCATAATATGCTGCATAACCAACATGCAATCAAGGTAACACGCTGATGCGTTAAAATTACGTGTGGTAATATATCAGATTAACGCATAATACAAACGTTCAAACAACTTCTATTTCTAGATACAAAACGTTGCTATGGATCTGGTGATCCTCACTATAAAACATTTGACGGTACCTATTATGATTATCAGGGTTATTGTAATTACATTCTGTTCACCAATGAATGTTTTGGAGATACATCAAACACACCTTTTTCGATCATTGTGGACAACGACCTTACACGGCCTGGTTCCCCTGTTTCAATGACAAAGCAGGCTACAGTGAACGCTTATGGAATGGTGAGTCTCAGCATTTTCATAATGTGACAGTTTAAACTGTTTATTAAGGTTTTGTAAATAAAATGGATGAGAATAATGCAGGAAATTGTTCAATAACCAATCATTGATTTTATCGAATAGTATTTCCGTATCACCAACTCTTACATACATTACATGTGATACATGCTTGTTTCTTCAGGTGATAGAGATGCTCCCTGGAAAGGCTGTTACCATTGACGGTGCACCAGTGTTCCCACCAGTTTACCCTTCTCCTTTTCTGGGCATCACAATTGCTGGTAACTACTTGGTAAGAAAGTATAATGGTTAACTGTTTTATATCTGGTGTGAGAAGAGTGTGGTAATCAGTGGAGCTATGGACATTATGAACAGTTGCGATTTAGTCAGTCTGTTTTAAATTGATAGAATGCATATTTTAAAACAATATACAGTGTCGTCTGCACACATACATGTTAGGTGAGATCACTTAATGCACTATGGATGTGACAATTGTTTGACTTTCTATTAACAGGTTATAACTACTGGTCATGGAGTGAAAGTTTACATGGGACGGATGGTCCTTTGTCCAAGTGTATGCGGTTACTGCTTTCTATAACAACGCATGTGGTCTTTGTGGATTGTTCAATGGTATCTCAGGTGACGACTTCACCACTTCTAGTAATACTCTCGTAAGTTCAACGTATCAATGTAATTGTTCGTATTACGTACTGTTTATTCTAGCCGAATCCTACATATTCGATAACGCTGGCATAATACGCAATCCAATGTTTCTCTGAATATCCAAATCTTGCGAATTTACAGACAGGCAGTATAAATGAATTTGGAAATAGTTGGAGTGTTGGACCAGATTGTATTCCCATGGGCGATGCTAGCAGACGCGACCTCACTAGCACTGATCCATGCACATTAAATCCTGATCCACTCGCTCAGCAAATATGTAACCAACTCTTCGGTAATAGTATTTTTTTAATCTCGCTCATTTCGTGATAAAGTTGACATAACCACTAAGTTACATTGAAAAACTGCAGAAAAAAAAAATTTAAATTAATTATTATTAATTATTTGCCGAACATTGATGTAAAATTAATCTGAATATCTTTCACGTTGTCGTAGATGCTTTTTCTGAGTGTGCTGGAGTGATTGACCCGGCGCCCCATCTCGCTATGTGCGTGATGGACATGTGTGACACACTGGTCGTTGGGGATGACACTGGTGGATGTTCAATCGCAGCTACATATGCGAGTTTGTGCCAAGAATCCGGTGTAGCAATCAGCGATTGGCGAAGTGACTCACCTTGTGGTAAATATACTCACTGTATATCATTCGTGCTGAAATATGTATAACATATCTTAGTATTGTACACCATTCTAACGTTACTTTATTCCTTCACGCAGCTATTGAATGTCCGCCAAATCAAGTATACAACACGTGCGGGTCAGCTTGCCCTCCAACATGTGATATACCCTTCCCTGTGGCCGAATGTACCGAGCAATGCATTGAAGGATGTTTCTGTGAAGATGGTTTAATCTTAGACGTAGGCAACGTCTGTATTCCACAATCGGAGTGCGGGTGTTATGCGATGGACACACTCTATAGGGTATGAACATTATTATAATCTTCATTTGGTTTTTAATATCACTGGCCAAATGGCAAGTTAAAGGAAAAATAATAAATAATGAAATTTGTCATTACACTTGTCTGATCTTTCAATCTTACTGTTCGTGTTGTTATTTAACAGTTCAACGAGGTATTGCCAAATGGAGAGACGTGCAGCTGCGAGTGTGAGTATGAGTATATTAATTGCTCTAATTCTTCGAAGTATTGTTTTTATTATTCACGCATGACCGGATTGACAATTTATTTTGTTTGTATTCTGTAGTTGCAAACACTGTGTGTAGTGAATGCCACTTTTACGAGGTGAATACGACTTCTGAAACCTGGTCCAATGCCAAAGATATCTGTGAAGAGAAAGGTGGACGATTGGCCATCATAAATGAAGCTTCCGTTTTTAACCTTGTTCGCCAGTTTATATTCAATAATGGATATGATGATGACGTTAGATACGGGTTTTGGTTTGGACTCAACGATCTTGTGAATGAGAGTGAATTCGTCTGGTCTGACAACACAACCCTTTTAGATGGCGACTATACTATGTGGGCTCGTGACCAGCCGAGTGGTGGAATTCGTCCACATGGGGTTCAGGATTGTGTGCAAATGTGGTTAGTAAAACAATAATCTTTTCTTTTATTCCACTCCAGGAGCACCCTTAAATATGATATACCAACTATATACCTTATTCTCAAATGGCTGCTGATATCGTTTGAAAAAATGAGAGGGCCCTAAGACGTATATAGAACAGTTGACACAATAGTGATAGACAATAAAACACTATTTTGAGATATAGATAGCCACTTGAGAATTGAAGCATTGTTATGTCACAGGGATTTCATTTGCAAATGCCGATAACTAACATTATTCATTTCACACTGTTGAAGGTCTAATTTTTAACATTTCGACATATTCAGGAAACGAAGAGCCTTTAAGTGGGATGATGCCAACTGTGAAACCAAGAAAGGCTACATTTGCGAATATAGTAAGTAATAAAATCATCATTATCATAAGCAATTTATATAGTCAATTTAATTTTTAAACAATTTAACGCTACATAATTTCACCTACTAAAGAGTTTCAATTATTTGGGTCAGGGTGTCCCAAGTTTAACCCATGCTATCACTGTCGAATTTACACTATTTTATATCTGGAGTAGTTATTAATACCGTACATTCGATATATTTTTGCAGCCGATGGGTGTTTTTAAAACACTATACAACACTGAAGAGTATACTACTCTGGCGAGTATATTGAGATGTGTACTAGTAGAAGTATTTCCAGTGGCTCGACATTGAACTATATAATCGAAATATTTGTCAAAAATATTCAATAAAATTATCAGTTATCAAAAGTTAACAATATGTTTGCAATTTATATTCAAATTCACTTACCATTTCATTCACACAAGTGACTTTATCAGATGGGTAATGTCTCTTTATACTTTTGAATAGATTCATTGAAATTGTGACTGAAACAAGTGTTAAAGCTATGGTAACCTATTTGTGTACACATTTTGATGAGATGTAAATGACACTGTAAATAACAATTCTCGTAGAATACTACGCCACTATAGAGAGAAAGAGAGCTTGCATTTATTTGAAATAGACCCTATTAGTAAATTCTGAAAGAAATAATATTCTCACAACGAAAGGCCTATAATGTTCGTAAGTTTGTAATAAATTCGGGTTGTTTTCTCATCTTTCTTAGTTTACAAATACATAGAATAAGTAACAAAGCCGAGTCTGTATCAGAAATATTGATAGCATGTATTGTTTCTGAGGTATGACATTTGTAAACAACCTACAAAAGGCGAAATGCGCTCAAATGAGTGCTCTAAAAACTGGAATCTCTTTTTGAGAATGGCCAACCCGTGGGCCTCGGTGCACGACCCCGGGCAACATAAGCTGTATGCTAATCCTTCATAACCTTATAAGTTCTATTAAAGAATTATGGATGTTTCGAGTAACTGCTTTTATATTTATTTATTCATCTTATATTGTCGTTTCTGACGCACAATATGTTCGAGCATTCCAACATTCAGTCAATCATTGTCACGAAAGCAAGTTGTAGGTAATGTTGTTGATGTTTCATAAAGACGAGTTCAACAACATGAAATTATTCTGTTGTGTAAAAACTAACAGTAACCCTCATTGTCGACTTGTCGTTTCTCGCCTCTTAGGTGTTACATGTAGTAAATAAAATCCCAAAATAAAATAGTTTACAAAATGTTTCATAACATTCCCAAACTACAAAATGTTTTAAGTGCAACTTCTCGACAGTTAATAAATATTTGATTTTCTATCACTTATAGCGTGGAAATTATTAAGGGGGTGGAAATTATTAAGTGCACGACGATTCTGTTGAATGATTTAGGTTTCTGTCAGAGAGAGAGAGAGAGCTAAAAACACATGTATAGAACGCAATACATATAAAAATGAAACTGCCAGGATAGATTGCCCACAACGAAAAGACTATTTTTTTGAACTGTTGATAGAAATGTAGATCTGGTAGCCATGGAAACAGCTATTTTATATTTAGAAATGGTTTTTACATTCGTCATTCAAAAAAAATAATATCTTTTTGGAAACAAGTACGATTGATTATGAAACTCGGGTATTTCTCTCACCAAGTCCACCGCGAGATATCTCGTTTTACGCACAATGGAGGACGTGGATAACCGGACATGAGCTCCGGTGCGAATCTCCCTATTTCATAAAAATAATCGTATTCGAATCTCAGGCTAGCTAATTTGGCGTGGTGAGGAGCATACAGGCATTTATACCGCCTGGGGGAAGGAACAACTGACTTGTCAAATAACAATAAATAAAATACAAATTGTAAAGTAAACAGATTTATTGTTTGAACTAGTAATTCACTCAATATAGAAACGCCATAGCAACAACATGTCTAAGTACAACGGCAATTTCTGAAATTACAAAATGCGTGCTTTACAGAAATTTTACAGTGAAAACACAATAGCTCTACCGCTAGCGTCAGTTCTCATTGAATGATACATAACACAATAATAAACTCATGTCAACAAAACCGCCAACCAGTTCACAACGTTCTGTACAGTCCTGTACAGTAAATTCGCTGACCACGAGGCAAGTATAATCAGCGATGACGCAATGGCGTCGCCAGAGAACACGGACACAGATTCTAGGCTCCACGATCTGATGAGCCATACGTTGCAAAAGATCACTCACCGCTAATCGAACAGTTCCTGAGTCGCATCAATTCGGTCATCGACGACACAGTTCGACAGTCACTTTGATTTCTTCGCAGTACGAGAATAACATAAACTCGCCTGTGGGCTGCAACACCCTGAACTCAGTTCTTTCCTAGCTTTTCGTACGCTGACTTGATGCTTGCCAGAACACGTTCGTGTTCACATCGCCAACACAACCCCATTTTCGGCTGCTGCCATCTTTGTCTGTCCTGCACCTTCTTCTCTTGCGCGCCTAGTGGCGTGACATTATGGGACGCACCAATCAGTGAAGGGCGTCTCAATAGGCGACAATCATGAGACCAAAACTTTTCCATGACGTCACAAATACGGGTTTCATAATAAATAACGCACGGGCCCGTAGTAACAAGATATATAAAGAAAACTACATAGATTTAATGAAACAGTAAAATTACCCTGGTTTCAATTATATTAGGCAAAAGATCTGCATCTTCTATTGATTTGGCTAATAATTACAAATTTATAGGTGAATTATTATGATATGTTCATAAATGGGTGGGGGGCTAAATGATAAGAAGTTGCCTGAAATATGAATGTTGTTACTATGAAAACAAAAATATTTTTTATTACTGTACGCCGCAAAATTAAAAAATCCTGGAGAGTACTCTATGTCCCCTTCTTTTGGGGTGAACGTTTGTATTAATATACCTAATAAACATAAACTGCTACACTAAATCATAGAAATCTCCCATGTCACACTCGCACATATGAACGCAATTACGCAAGATGAAAGAGTACGAGAGCTGTGCTTGAATTACATCATGTACGCTATTTTTATTTTGAACATTGTGTTTAGAGTCTTAAGTCAAGCAGCTTCAAA